GTATAAAACTCAACATTTCAGTTTATTCAGACAATAATTAAAACATTGCTTGAATTTAAAATCATTTTAATATTAGTTGCAAATATAGCTACAAACCACTGAAATCTGGAGAATTAAAGAGATGGCAACATATAGCCACCATTTTGTTAGTTGCTTGTCAGTGTCTATGATGTCCAAATGAAATGTCCATATCAGATGACTTTTGATATTCATTGCTGAAATGTCCCCATTTCTTCAAATAGTTTGGTGAGCGCTCCCAATCTCATTTTAGCTGTCAGTCCATAGTATAATTAAGAGAAACTACTATTTTCAACATCCATGGTCATATTAATATACTAAACTATCAGCACCACCCTTAAGCAACACTGATGTGAATATTAATCCTCCTTCAAAATCATTTCTAATCACTGCTGATATATCTTCTGAGGCAGAGGCCAATGTTTGTTTAATATTAACTTAGTTACAATTTTATCAGATGAATGAGGCCTTTAGGCCAGGGCAAAACTAATAATACGTATAACACCAATCAACACAAAAAATGTAAATACTAAAATCATACTATGCGACTGAAACCTAATATGTATTCAGTTTAAGTATATCAGGCAGGATCCAATAATACTTCAGTACATATGCCTTTTCTATAAAACCATTTCTCACTTGCCCAGGACAATTCTAGAGCAGATTTTAAAGGCATTCAGATTTGTTGAGGAAAGGAAGTAGTTGTTATTATCATATATTACAAAGAACATATTATTCAGTTGTCCAGAACTATTTGTAAAAAGCAAAGCCTCCTTTGAGACAAGCCTGACTCCTAGTGATTTCATGGATATGCCCATGTAGTTTTCTTGGTTTGCTATTGCCTTCTTCTGATTTTTTTTTAACTTTCCAATCTAAGTATATCTGTGATACTCCCCATTACTTCAGCCAAGTATCAACCAAGCCCAACAAGCCTTGCTTAGCTTAAGCCCAGACAAGAATTACCATCTACTGCCTCCTGAATCATCTATTTTTAATTAAATATACTTTCTTGAAAACACATCTTTAAATTGTTTTTTATTACAAATTAGTCCTTTTTGGGACACCTGCTTTACTGATGTCTAAATTTAAAACAAAATGTTGAACATCAAAATAAACTCTTAAAATTAGTGTCAAAATATGATCTAAATTTCTTAGTCATTATTAAAATCTACAATTATTTTATAGCAATTGCAGTAACCTATGCTATCACCAACTGTCTGATGAAACCTATTTTCAAACCACTTGTATACATGGTTCTTGTTCCAATTTAACAATATATGAGTTTGCTTTTAGAGTATACATTAATAAACAGTCTAAATTTACTCTGACAGCAAATGAAATCACTCCATAATGGTCTCTGCCTGCCTGGTTTTGTTTTATAGCTCAGCGGTGTTTCATACTGCTTTATAATCTTATCTTTTTATTAACAAGGAACCCCTATAACCTAATTTAAGTATCAAATCATTGAAGGGAATAAAAATAATTCTCTATGCTGTAAATTAAAAAAAACTTACTAAGATAAGACATATATACTATTTATTTATGAATTTTGAATGTAACTGGCTTCATCTGACTTTTGACTAAAAAGTAACTGTTCAAAGTTCCCGTGGCACTGAACAAAAGGACTTATGATCTGTCTCTGAAGTTACAGCGATTGCAGTACCTCTGTGGTCACATGATCAAAATTAAGGCACTTGGCATCTTGCTCACATGACCACAAGGGAGCTTCAACTCCCCCATCCATGTCCTTTTGATCCCCTGCTACCCTGCATGTTGCTGTCCCAACTGACATTCGCCATCTTTTTGCTCCTACTGCTTATGAGGTATGTCTGGCCTGACCCTTTGTGAGATAGCTGCTGGCTGCATGCAGCTCTCTTCCTCATGTTGTGCACAGTGAGTGGAGAAGATGGCCATATGGTCAGCAGCTGCCTTGCAAAGGGTCAGGGGCCTTGGAGTGAAAGGTGATGAGGACAATTGGGGCAGCTGTGATTTTGAACCATGCTATGGCCGGACTTTGTGCTGTGGCTCAGGACCATCTTATAGCCCCAGAGCTGTAGCACACCAAGAAGCTCCTTTGCACTGCACTGGTGGGCCAGGTTGGATCTGGGCTTCACAGTGTGGTTCAGGGGCTTCTTGCAGCTGCAGCCTGCAAGATGTCAAGAAGTCCCTGAACTGCATTGAGGCAAGCAGGGGAGTTAGTGGCACTCCTTTACCTTACTCAGGCTTGAGCTGGGAGGGACTAAGCCCCAAGTGGCTTGGCTTGTGTGGGTCCTTCGCTAACAACCAATGGAGTTTGCTTTATCCCAAAAGTAAAAGGTAGAAATCTAATTCAACTTTAAAGCAAAAAAAAAAAAAATAGTAGTAGGGTGGTTGAAAACAAAAAAGTTCTAAAATGCTCATTGTTTTGACAGTAGTCACTGCACTTCAGTCATTTAAAGTATTTAAATATATTTACTTTTTGTATGTGAAAAGGGTTTATTATTAATAGCAAATCAGGAATACAGACATTTTACTTCATATTTAAGCTAGCTTAATATTTAAGCAAATCTGTTGTTTGTTCAGAAAGTGGTCAGGCAGCATAGCATGCTAAAGACAATATAGAGTAACTAGATCAAAGTTACATTAAAAAAGAAAACAAAAATAAATTACCAATTTACCTGTATTAATCTATTTATTCTTATTTTAATGTGCATGAAAAAATAGTTGATAGAAATAAAAATTACATTGAAACAAAAATTTTATTTTTATAATAGTAATATGGTAGACAAAGAAGAAATATTAAAACATGAGATTCCACAAAGGAATCAGATTACTGACTTCTAGAGAATTTTCTGAATGTCACCTGCTGGTTAATTTTTCATAGATAGATAGATTAGATAGATAGAGATAGATAGATAGATACACACACACACACACACTCTAGTTAGGGATTACATGTATATATATTGTCTTTTCTCTCATTAAATGAGTCCTTATTCTGAGTAAAGATTCTATTTAATAGCAAATCAATTTTATTAGCATTTTTACTAGAAAATAACCTGAAATGTACCAACATAATTAATGTTGAGATTAAGAAATCAACTTTACATTTCAAGAGGACTCTTTCTTGAAATCTGCTGAATGCTACCATGTTCCAAGCTGAATCCTTGTGATTATTCTTCAGTTTTCTTCTGTTCTTGAGCCAAGTTTATGATAATCAGGATACTGTTTATCTGTCCAGATTATTGTAATAGGCAACAACTATCTCTTCCATGCAAAATACTAAACAAAAAGCTAGGATGCAAAAACCACTTACCTGTAAACTTTACAACATACAGAGTTCCATGTAAGCCAGGCTCATGCTTAAATGTACAATTAACAGGCCATTATGGCTATATATGGCCAACATGTAAAACACTGCAAGGGGGGGGGAATAATAGAACAATTAAGAACATTTTGAATCTAATATCCCAGAATTGCACTGAGTTCCCCATTAAGGCTTTTTTCCCAAGCATGCTACATCTTATATACCTGTAGTTCCTAATTAATTATTACTGAGAAGCAACCACAACTTTACTACCATTCCAGCAACCAATTTAAGATTTCCCCTTAGTTCAGAACTGTATATTTAATTTGTATCCCCTCTTTAATATTTTTACAAATAACTCAAGGTGGCGAACATATCCAACACTCTTCCTCCTCCTGTTTTCCCCACAACCCTGTGAGATGAATTGAGCTGAGAGTGACTTGCCCAAAGTCATCCATCTGGCTTTCATGCCTAAGGAGGGGCTTGCAACTAAGTCTCCTATTTTCTAGCCTGGTGCCTCAACTACTAGACCAAACTGGCTCTGTGTACTTTATATGTATGCTATCATGCTATCAGGCATTAATTGTCCTTGGGCAGACTAGGTACTAGTGAGAAGCTAACTACACATACATAGTTCTTGACTTACAACCATAATGGAGCCTGATCATTACAATTGTAAGTTGTGGTGCTGTTAACTGAGGCACCTACATGATGACTTTGCTTAAAGATCACAATCCTTGCTCTTCCCATTGTGGTTAAGTGACCCTGTAGTCCTTTTCATTAGTAATTCCTATTTGTCCCTAAGGAAAGTTGATCTTCATGCCATAACATGGTGCATTGTGAGCAAAGAAATGTAATTCCTCATGGAGGTGAATGCTGTCTACAATTTTATAGGTAAATAGTAAGTTTGTCATCAACCTCACACCCAAATACCATGCATTCATAGCTCTCCAGGTGTTTCAAGTATCAAAGTAGGGCTAGATAAAGTGTATCTCAGAAAACTGCTTGATTTTTTAACCATTATTCCCCTCACTTTATTGCCATTATGCGCAATAGCTACGCACAACTAACTACTACAGTAGTATATAATTACTATATATACTCCTAGCTTACTGTAAAACAATCCAGGCATGAACACAAAGGGAAACTTAGTTGCATGAAAACAATGCTTTCATATTTTAAGTCAATGAAATTTTCTAATAACATCCATATGCTTATAGTTCCACAAAAAAGTTCCTTTCAATTAAAAAAAAAGAGAAATGCCTGCATATGGCTATGTTAAGATTATAGATAAAATATGTGTGTGTACCTTTATGTTCTCAAAGATTTATAATATCACAAAATTCTCTACAGCCTCATTTCTTAGGATTAAATATGAGTTCTCTCGTAAATGCTGCCAGACTGGACAAAAATTAACAATCCACCTTTCAGTTCAATTTCTCTTAAAAGTAAAGCCAACAAAAATAGTTAAAAAACAACAAGATATTGTAGAAGTACAAACGTTTACCATAGTAAATAATAATGCTCTAGAGTCTAGAATATATATATATAAAGTAGTTCGTATCGTGCAATTACTGGGATTCTCGGGTCAAGACTAGGGCACCGAGTTAACTAGATACGGTTATTTTTTGTTTTAAAATTGTTGTAAAATTCTCCGGAGGTAATATAGAAACCATGTAAGTGAAGGTGCAGATACCTGGCCACCACTTTTATAGAAAACGACTCCCACTTTCTGGTGGATCGGAGGGGAAAAGCTTGGCGAAAAATTCCGCACGAGGAAAAAAAAAAGAGTAAGACGCAACCAAAATGAGCGCCTCTCTCCTGCGAGGGTGGGGTTATGGCGGGAAAGCTTTTTACTCCTAGACCCCTCCCCCCACCTCCTTAAGGACGGCTCCTTGTAGCCGGGTAGCCGTTCATTGGCCAGACTGCACATCAATCAAACAGCAGCGGGCCAACTCTCCCGAAGACAAACGCGGCACCCCCGTTGGTTTAAAATGCCTGTTACTTCACGCACCGGATCTTAACGCTCAGACGCTGTTAACTGCCTCAAGCTTTCACTCATTCGGCCGTCACTCACTTTTGAGGACTCCGCCCAAGATGCAGGCCCCGCCCTCCACCCAACGGTGGCTCACGGCTCAGTCAATCAGGCTCCCAATCACACCGAAACCACACCCCCTCCCGAAGAATCACTGGCTCTCGGTAACGCACTACCCGCCAAGACTGTTTCCCGTGGTCGCTCACCTGGGGAAAGTAACGGCTCGGTACGAAACCAACTTCCCCCTCCCTGGTTTGTACCCCCTCACGGCCACCGCTTCTGCGCAACGCCCGCCAAAACAGCTTTCCAGTGCGCACGCGCTAGCCCCTCCGCCCCCTTCCCAGCTTCACCGCGCTGGCGTGAGGCGCGCGCACCTCCTTACTATCTTCCTCAACCTCTGTTCCTCTCTTCGGATATATTTCAAGACGCATGCGCATAAGTACAGTACGCCTCACCGTGTACGCCTGCCTGGAAGCAAGTTTTATATATAAAACGATCTTTTTTCCCCTTCTACCCTGGCATGTACCTTCACCACCACAGGGATGGATATAGTCCTAACCACCGACCTAAACCCGTTTAGAAAACGAACTTAATTCCCGCCTCTATAATAATGAATGAAGAGAAGATGGACCAATCTCTATAAAGATGGCCGGTCGTAAAAGCCAATCAGAAGAACTTACGCTCCGAATGCTCCAATGAGAAGGAAACAATGTGAAGGAGAAGGGCGTTGCCTTGCAGCTGGAGCTTTAGGAGTAGAGGGCGGGAAAATTCACCAAATCAAAGGAGTGACAGAAATCCAACCAATAGAAAGACAAAGAAGGTGGGGCAATGACGAGAAACAGGTGTATTCATCCAGTAGGAGGCAGACTATTTGCCTATTAACCAATAGGCATCGACAAAAGCTACACAGCTATCCAATGAGAGTGGGTAGGGGGTGGGTGTTGATAGTGAAGGCGACGACGCACTGGTGACTCTGCCCCTTTCGGTATCGGGTGCAGCGAGAGGGAGCGTCGTTCGTGAAGAAGGCCGGCCTTCTCCATTTGCTACTGCCAAGATGTCCAAATCTGAGGTAAGAGCCTATTAACGGGCATTTTTATTTTATTTTTACGACTCTAAACCAGTGGCTTGTTTTTGTGGAATTATGTTTCCTTTGCCTTTAGGGATCGTCTGATTATGGGTGCGATCTGTCGCCTAACGCAGTAAGTGTTACAAATATCGTTTCTCTCCTCATTCCCGCTACTGAAATGCATTGTTTTTCTTTTGCGCTCGTCGTTTTTCGCCGCTTGTCTGCGTTTGGCTTTCTGATTCTCCTTTGTTAGTTGGTCTTTCCTTTTTCTCCGGATGGGCTTACTTCTCCCCCCCCTCCGTGTCTTCAAAACTGCGCATGCGCATTGTGTTGCTAGCTTAGGCGCCATCTTTTCCAGTGCGTGGCGTTCACAGCTGCTATCTCCTGCGCTCGTAATGGCTGCGCTTGCGCCGTGCGGTGGGCAAAACTCTATAGAAGCACACGCCTGCGCACTTCTCCGGAGCAATTCCGAGTTTGCGTGTGGGTGGGGGATGGGAAGAAGCGAAGGCCACGTGCTCGCTTGCTTTGTCTCTGATAGCTGGTTTCTCGGCCTTTAATTTTCACGTTTCTCTGCCCCAACTTCTCTCTGCAAATGGAAAGAGACGGCCCGGTAGCACTCCTCCTCCCCTTTCCTTCAGATGATTTTTATGTGAGGGTGAGAAGAGAAGGCCTGCCCGTTCTGAGGCAAGAGGTGCCCGAGGAAGCGCCAGTTAAATGTTTTAAAAATTTGAAATTACTTACATTGGCTTGAGAGAGCGTGTTCCATCAGCCATTGTATGTATTTTATTCTCGTAAGTTTTGAGGTGGCTGCAAGGTTGCCGTTCCGCAAAATTGGAACGTAATCTCGCCTCCTCCCCCCCCCCAACTACTTTGCTGGAAACACTAAAATACACATAATTTGCGAAAATGGTAAATTTATTGAGACAGCGATACTTTTCGCAGGCCTAATAAGCATATTCCTGAATTGCCTTAAAAAGACGGCCTGTTGTATTTCTCCTTTTCGGAGCATATCAGAATTAGTGCCTTTGTTCCTAAAGTATAATTCCTTGTAGTGTGTAACAATACAGAAGCAGCCGAGTAAATGCTTTAGATACCTTAATTGCATTGGAGTTTAATGCTAATGTTGATGTTCTACTGTCTTGGAGTTCTGTTTAAATTAACAAGCAAAATAGTTAATTGATGTAGGGTGAAAGTTTGCATTTTATGACACCAGAATGGATCAAAGAAAAAACAAGACTACATTTCCTGAGTGATCTCTAAAGTACAGGCAGTCCTCGATTTACAACCATTTATGTAGTGATTGAAGTTACAACAGCACTAAAAGTGACTTATAACCAGGATTCCACACTTACGACCATTGCAGCATCCCCATTGTCATACGATCAAAATTAGGTTGTTTGGTAACTGATACGTACTTATGTATAAAGATTGCAGTGTCCTTAGGTCATGTGATCACATTTTGTGACCTTCTGACACGCAAAGTCAAGGGGGAAGCCAGATTCACTTAACAACATATTACTAACTTAACTGCAGTGATTCACTTAATAATTGTGGCAAGAAAGGTTTTAAAATGGGGAAAATTCACTTAGCTGTCTTGCTTAGTATCACAATTTTGATTGTATGTCAAGGACTGTCAGTACTTAGGTTCTGCAGTTGTTAGATAAAAACCTAACAGGAAAAAGTCACAATATCAAGTCAAAAATAGTTTTTCATGTGAAAATGGTTTTATGAGCTTGGTTCTGGTACTCACTACAGCTATATTGCATGTGCTAAAAGGACTTCCTATTTCTTAAATAGCTAATTTCTGCAAACCTAATCCTGTACTTTTTACCTGGTTCTGGCTGATGGGACCTGGTATTCTTATATGCTGAATAAATCATGCTTATTTTCATTATGGCCCCCTACCATCATAACACCCAGGTGCGCAACCTGGGTGTCCTCCTGGATCCTCGGCTGACACTAGAAGATCAGTTGACGGCCGTGGCCAGGGGGGCGTTTTACCGGGTACGCCTGGTTCACCAGTTGCGGCCTTTTCTGGACCGGGACGCCTTGCGCACAGTCACCCACGCTCTTGTCACCTCCCGCCTGGACTACTGTAATGCTCTCTACATGGGGCT